ATCCTTGGATGGGTGGCTCTCCCGGATTCCTGTCCGTCAGTCTCCTTATGGTCGGCTCCCTGTTAACTCATACTCTCCGTTCTGTAGAATCTATTCATTCCCTGTCTGGGAAGGTGGGCGATTGGATTGATTCGATTCGATTCATTCATTCATTCATCAAAAGCAACCTCGGCTGCCATGGTGGCAGACAAGCAAGTTCCAAGGCACCACATGTATGGTATGGTATGCATACATCAACCAAAGCAGTAATATAGAAGGGTGGGATTTCGCCTAGTTGGGGCAACCCAAAAATAGCTCTATGAATAATGGCGTAACCTTTGGCCCTGGAATCTCGTACCTTTTCTGTGCAAGTTTGCCCGTTGTGAGACGATGAGAGTGCGGAGACTTTCTTCTTGGCAAACGAGAGCCACGAACCGGTGCCTACAAGTGTACTATTGATGTCGTAGTTGGTCGTAGTTGGCTAGATGATGAGCACTCGGTGTTACAGTCTAGTAGACTGTATACTACAGACCGTTTTCAAATCTAATTTTGGAACTTAATCCCTCCGGGGACTTTTTAATTCCTAAGTTAAGTATACTGTGGATATTTCGTAACGTACCGTATTAGGAAGGTTGTCCGAGATTTGGCAATATGCTCGCGTACCGTACAGTACTATACAATTCTCTGGGACATTTTTTCCTATAGCTTTTGAGAACGATGGGGCAGAAACACACTGCCTTTTAAAATGATGCGGATACCGTACGAACATCGGCGCAAGCACGTCAGATAAAAAGTGTCTAGCTAGTCAATCATTGGATCAAATTACAAGTTCGACTTTTGCTCTTGGCCTGCCATAATAAAGAGACGTCGACTAAGGGCGGCGATTGATCCTCCGAAATCAGCACCATCCAAGAATGACAAGTCGCAGATTGTTTTATTTGATATGATGTGGCTCAACTAATGAACGAAATCGAATTCAGCTCTGGATGTACAGTATGACCATATCCATCCAAAACCAAGAAAAGAGAAGAAAAAGACCATGCCGTTTGCTGTAGCAAATTGTTGTTTTCTACTCTCCTTCCGCACCCTTGATGCACGTCACGAGCCAATCGAATCCTTCAAAGAGTCCCTTTCCCTTCAATGCTGAGGTTTCTTGGATCGACCATTGACGGTTTCTCACTTCTGGCAATCCCAATGCATCACTGATTTGCTGCGCGTTCAATGCACCCTTTTGATCTTGTTTATTGGCAAACACCAGCAGAATGGCATCGCGCAAATCTTCTTCCTCCAACATGGCCGCCAATTCTCCTCTTGCTACCGCCATTCGCTCCGAATCAGCACTGTCTACCACAAAAATAATGGCATCGGTATTTGGATAATAGCAACGCCAATAGGGACGGATACTGGTTTGTCCTCCTAAGTCCCACACTTGAAACTACAAAAAAGAAACGCATCGAATCGAACAACATATTTCGCATCGTGAGAGACAAATAATAGATACTCGCGTCGCCTCGTTCGTTAACCTGGGGTATCATCCCTCAGATAACCACAGACTCGAATCCACAAACCTTAATATTCTTGTATTGTAGAGTCTCCACATTAAACCCAATCGTCGGGATCGTTTGTACGGCCTCGTCGGATTCATTTTGCAATCTGTACAGGATGGTGGTCTTCCCCGCATTATCCAATCCAAGAATCAGAATTCGGACTTCTTTGGACCCAAAGAGGGTCTCAAAGAGACGACTCATCATGATACCCATGGTTCCGCTGTTGTTGACGTTAAGCTTGGTATGTTGGTAGACGGCAGCCGCTTGATCGATGTGTTGGCGATGGCACAGCTACGGTGGCTAGCTAGAGTTTTAGTAGGATGCAGCATGCAGCTTTGGTCGGCAGCTCGGCAGGAATCGCGGTAGCAAAAATAAAGAAATCTAAACGAAATGACCAAGCGGTACTAAATTTAAGTTAATGGTTTAGCTAGTCAAGAAGACTAAAGATACTGACCGTCAGAGCTCTCTCCAAAGCTATGCCTTGCTTCCGTTGGCCTGACAGCTGCACAGACCCTAGTGCTCGGCCATGGCCAACGCTGTCGCCGATTGTCTAAGTGGGCCGACCATTTGGCGAACACATTTTCTCAGCTTTTAGCAACTCTTCCGTTGAGGGGGAGTGCCCCCCAACTGCACCTGTTCACTGGCTGCATCCAAGCGAGTTGGCACTTGCCATGCAGCTGAATCACTCCTCATCTGCAGCGACCAACACAAGGTTTCTAGTAGAGGCGGAGCGATTCGTACGATGGTGGCCTCTACCCCGAGGTATCGGACGCAGAGCGACCCTGACGGAGTGATCCATGTGAGCGACGATGATGATCAAGTCGATTATACCCTCGGCAAAGGAGGGGGAGGACAATCAGCAGATGTGGTCGATGTAACGCATATGGCAGATCCGCCTGAAATCACAGAACAACCAATGATGGTAGATCGACGCGACCCTCCCACGGATCCAGGCTCTCCCGTCTACGAGGCTACCTCAATGGCGTCCAATGGAGTTCTGTCAGATATCATGGAGGAAGGACAAAAACCACCACCACTACAAGATTCTCGACCTACATCGCCACTTATGCGGTCTACATCGCCACATGTAAGGAGAGACCCTTCCTTCCGTGGAGCTAGTCCCTCCTCACCCCTCAAGTCCTATGGTTCCAACAGCAGATCCATCGCCAGGACAAGCTCGTCACCGGTAGCCAAGGCAAATTCCTACAGTGGCCTTGATTCTCCCGTTCGAAGTGCCACTGCTTCACCTTTACAGGAAGTCATCAGTGTCGAGTCGCTGGAGGATAGGGATCGCGTCGCCGGGACACCGATTCTTCATCAACAGCCACACGATCACGAAAAGCCCGTGCCCATTCACCACTCTAGGCAGGGCAGTAGCAGCTGGCGTACGAATAATGCACGTAGTCCACCCAGCAAGCGCCCGTCCCCTGATGTAGATGTTGTCGACACCGAACATCCACCTCCACCTCAGCCACATCATCAGCTTGACGATGAAGAACCTTTACAAGAAGACGATATGGCCAGATACCTTCCCGTGAATCATCATCATCATCACCACCGTCACCATGCAGCATCATCGCCAATGGAAGAAAGCCCTGATATTCCCGAACCACTGGCACAAATCTTAAAGGCCCCACCACAGCCCCCTTCTCAAGAGCCACCGGGTCGTTCGATAGGGATTCTTCCCGAGGAGAGAGACAGCACCAACAGCAAGTCCAGCAGGCAGCAAGGAGATTTTTCGGATCAATCAAGTCAAAAACGAGAAACCGACGGCGACCTGGACACAGGTGGATGGATGTTCACAAACATCATGAACACATTGACTTGTCGCGGGCCAACTCCCATCGCAGGCTCCGGCCCGTTGACATTGGTTTCCTGTGGTACTACCAACAATGAGACGCAAGACCCCGGTGGGTTCGGCAACGACGACGAAGAGAACTCTGTGCTGGGCCCCAAAGGATTTGGTGATCTGGCGTCACTGCCGTCGCTGGAGGATTCCATCATTCATAAAGTGGGAGAACAAGACACGGACAATGAGTCACTTTCCAGCAGAGTGAGCCGCGTGTCTCTGGCCACAGATTGTCTGGGAAATGCAGTGGAATCCAAGATCAAGAATTTGGAAATGGAGCAACAAATGGGAGCTGTCCCGGCCAAGGATCAGAGTGGTTCTCCAGAAGCTGACCCGCTTGCAAGTGACCCAGAAGTGCAACGATTGGAGCTGGAACTGCGAGAAGCTTTCAAGTCATTTGGGAAGAACCATGTCAGATGCTCACATGTTTCATTGGCCTTGGCCGAGAAGTACACGGAAAAGAAAGCATTCAAGAAGGCGCTCGAGTTGCACCGAAATATTGTCGCCGTGCTCAGTACAAAACTTGGCGACAACCATCAAGACACGCTTGATGCAAAAATTCGCTTGGGCAAGTCTCTCGAAGATGCCGAAGAGTACGACGAGGGAATAGCGGCCTTCTATGAAGTCATGGCAATGCGACGAGCCCTGGAAGGAGACAAAGATCCTTCTACATCTGACGCTCTTATCCTCATCGCCAACTGCCTTCGAAAGAAAGGCCAGTATATGCAGGCCATTCGAGAACTCAAACGGGCGTTGAAAGTGTACCGAGAATCACTAGGAGACTCACACCCGTGTGTTGCATCGACAGTCGACGAAATTGCTTCGTTGTATGTAACGCTTGGAGACTTTGAGAAGTCTGCCGCCATCCTCGAAGAAGTTGTCAAGTTGAAGGCAGCAACATTGGGAATGCAGAACAGACAAGTTGCCAGCAGTCTAGTCGAGTTGGCTACTTCGTACGAATGCTCCGAAGACTTTGACCGGGCCGTCAAGGCGCTGAAGAAGGCCTACAAAATCTACACGGACTTTGGTGGCTTCTCCTGCGAGGAAGCCACCTCAACACTCCATCGGATAGCTCTCATATATCAGGCATCTGGTGACATCCACAAAGCCGCCATTGCGTACTTGGGTGTGCTGCGTGGAAAGAAGCACTTGCTTGGGGACGATCACCTGGAGGTGGCTGAAACATATTACAGGCTTGGAGTGTGTCTGCGTGAAACAAACCAGTTGGACAAGGCTTTGAAGTGCATGAAAGAAGCCTTGCCAATCCTTGTAGGCAAGGGCAAGAATATTCACGATGTTGACATGATTGCAGAAGTGATGCACGAGATGGCTCTACTGTACAAGGCCAAGAGGCAGCTGACGGAAGCTGCCAAGATCTTCAAGCAGGAGCTGACCGTGCGTCGCAAGATTGGCCAACCAGACTATCCATGCATCGCCAAGACCCTGAATCACCTCGGCGTAACAGAATACGAAATGAAGATGCACCGGAGAGCCCTGAAGCACTTGCTGGAAGTTCTGACAATTTTCCAGGAGCGCCAAGAGCAGGGAATTGACTTTGCGGAGGCCCTGTACAACATTGGACTTGTGTTTGAAGCGGTCCGGAACAAGGAGCGTGCATACGAGGCCTTTTTGGAGGCAGCAAGGGTCTTCAAAGCAAATGGGTATGCAAATGATCATCCGCACATGACGAAGGCTGTGAACAAAGTCAAGCGGTTAGCCGTGCGGAAGTGAGGTTGTGAAAGGGGTCCTCCCATCTACCTGCATGTATGTTTGCTACCAATACCGACAGTGCTTGAGGCCGTAATGTCAAGAAACTTAAAAAGATGATAACCAGTGCAACAATTTATATACTTAGGTAGCAGCTACATTGTTCCTATGATCTCTCATTGAAGGCAGTATTATAATTAGTACTTCTTTCCTTCGTTCTTGGCCATCGATTTCACTCTCTTCTTTCTGAATCTGTGCGGGGACACCCATTCGATGTACTACATGTAGCTAGTACGGTATGTGGTGGCTAAAGAGCTGGCATGTGGTGTTGCAGTCGTACCGTAGCGTTACGGTACCGGTACCAGTTACATGTACTAGTATACTGGTACCAGTATGCAGACCCGTGCCGGTCACGTAATTGTACCCCCTCAGATTTCAGAAATGAATGAGGCTGTTAGGTGTCGTGATTCGAGTCACTAGCACGACCCAGCCCGTCCAACCGTTTCTGAACGACCGAAACAACTTTGCCGTTGTTTCCTGAAACCGTTACGAGATGTCGTGTGAAAAGCTCATTTAGATGAGAGATCCTCGGCAGCTCGTACATCTGAACAAGCGCAAAATTTGGCAAAGGTTTCTGAAAGAAAACTGCTGGCCAAAACCGCAAGCAGAGACGTAGACACTAACCTCATCACAATACTCCTCGCTCATCCAAAGAAGAGAGAGTTGTGTTATTGCTGTCGTCAATGGCGTATGTCTGATTCAAGCAAAAGCAAGGCGCCTAGGCGAGAAGAAGCAGAACGAGAGCCCCAACCACAACCGCCACGACGACGAAGAGCCGAGTATCCATACCCACCAGCAGCAGCAGCTCCTCCTCATTATCATCCTATGCAGGTTCAGCATCCACCTCCTCACGCTTTCCGTGGTCCTCCAGGAATGGAAGACTACCATCGGGATCATCATCGCCGCCATCCTCCTCCTCATCACCATCACCCGTATCACCCTCATCACCATCATCCCCATCACCGACATCCTCCTTATCCGCCTCATCATCCAGGAGCCACAGCTGTCACCCCAGAGACAAGCCAACTGATGCCTCAACAAGAAAGTCCTTCTTCCAGCGCCAAGCGAAGAGCCTTTCCCAGAAGTGGCCCTTCCCCGCCCAAGCGTCCTCGACACGGTAAGTCAAACACATTTATTCGTTGGTCCATCTCTGCTGGTTGTTTCGCCGCTGTTCTTTCCGCACCTCTTTTCGACGTCCTCTGGGAATTGTTCTTCCTTCTTCTGCATTTGCAACCGGCGGGCATACGTCCTCTCTTTGTTGCACACAACGGCTTGATTTCTGTTCCTTCTGTCTTAATCGTCCAAACCGACCACATCTCTGTTTGTCAGTGTTAACTTTTCAACTGACCAATGCAAACGATCAACCGGGCATAGTGGCGGGCATCTGAGCTGTCACGCTGTTGCAACTACCTTGCCCTTTGTCCTTTGCTCTCATACATTCGAAACAACTCTCTTCCTGAACCAACTTTCGTTGGACCAAATGGGTATCTACACTGGATCTAACCAAACCATTGCTCCTATTCTTATCTCTCTATTATGTACAATCACCATGTACGCTGCTGCTGAATCACCATCACCTCAACTGTCTTTTGCTCAACGAAAACACCGAAATGAAACCTTCAAATGCTTCGTATTGTCTCCCAATGAACAATACTTGAACCCCTTGTTTGCGGAACTCCTTCACCGGCACCAAATGCAATCATCAAACGACCCTGAATCTTCACGACCCAAACTTCCAACAAAACCACCGAAAACTTGCCCTCCTCCGCGGACACCCCGCAAAACGCGGACTACTCTTTCTTCTCCTACAACCGCATCACCATTCTCAACACCAACGGTAACAACTTCGACCATGACGGATGGCACACGAAATACTTTTGGAACAACCTCAACGGTGGCAGCTGCAGCGACTCCTTCCACCGTATCATCCACGCCGGCCAAGGAATTCACACCCACCTCTGTGCAGCAACGACTGAGTGCCAGCAATCCTACTGCTCCTACAAGCGGTGGCGCCTCCGCAACGCCTCAACAGCAGACATCGTCGCGCTATGATTCATCCCTGGGCTTGTTGACAAAGAAGTTTGTAAGTCTTCTCCGGGGATCGACAGGAAACACTTTGGATCTCAATCGAGCCTCCATGGAGTTGGGTGTCCAGAAGCGACGAATCTACGATATCACCAATGTCCTAGAAGGTATTGGTCTCTTGCAAAAACAAGGCAAGAACAATGTCTGCTGGAATGAAAACCCGCCTCAAACATTCTCTCGCGCTGGAGAGAGCGATGCCGACAAGGCGAAGCGCACTGAAACGAAACAGCGCCTAGAGGCGCTTCGGCAAACCGTTGAAAGCCTGCGTCATCAAGAAAGTGAGCTTGATAAGTACTTGGACTTTCTTTCTCGCCAAGCCGGAGTCTTTTCCCCAACGGGTGTTTCAGCAAGAACTGGTGACTACCCCAGTTACATCCCGCTTGGATTGGAAAATGCCGCTCGGTACATGTACGTCATTTATCAAGACATTACATCGCTACCCATGTATCGGTCCGACACCATTATTGGAATCAAGGCTCCATCGGGAACTTCCCTCGAAGTTCCAGATCCGGATCAAGGAATGAGACCTGGTACCCGACGGTTCCAAATGTACCTAAGCAGCCGGGGAGCGTACGGACCAGATTCCAGAGGAGGTCCCATCCATGTCTACTTGATCCGCCCCAAGGTTTCTGGACCTGGAGATGCTCCTCCCGAGGAAGAGCCGCGATACGAAGATCGACCACGCCTGGAGTACGATGACAGCCGACCCCGTTCTCGTCCCTCGGATGAAGAGTCCGAAAAGCGATCTTACTCTAGAAGCAAGGGATATGCCGAGCCATCATGGGAGCCGCCTCGCGATCATGGGTATGGAAGTGAGCGGCGTCGATCGGAAGACAAAGACGAGAAGATGGAAGAGATTCCAGAAGAGGAAGAAAACGATGCCGAAAGCAAACCACCTGCAGCATCGTCACCGACCAAGCAACGGGGTCGTTCCGCGTCCAAGATGCCAAGAAGCACCCCGGAACGCCGGCCAGAGGCTGAAGGCTCCCCTCTCTTTGATCGTAAGCACACGCCACGTAGCTTTCGAGACCATCCTCGCGATCATTCGCCCGTGACCAGAGCCATTATGTACGAAGGAACTCCGCAGCGGTCCTCTCCACGATCCCGGCACTACATCCCTCATGACGGCCACAGCCCGGCGCCTCTGACACCCCATGGTCCTCCTTCGTTGGGTATCCGAACTCCACAAAGTGCTCAGTTCGATCTCATGAACATGCCATTGCAATCACCAATGGCTCGTGGGCATAGAATACCGCCACGGGGTTACTTCAACTCTCCCGGTCCGGCACCGATGCATGGTGGTTTCAGCCCTCCTCCACCGGTTGGCCGCGAGTTCCTGCGTCCTGACATGTTTGCTTCCCCGGCTGCTCCCAGAGGCGATCATCCTGACCGTGGCGATCCCTCTGCTTTTGCGGGGCACTCGCTTGAAGAAGACCGAAGCAGCGCTTGGCGACATTCCCCCGCCAGACGCGATCATCATGGCCGCTGAAGGATTGAATCGAAACTTGTATTTGCTGCTATTTGTGTTTTTCATTTGAGCCTTGGTTCCTGAGACGAAGGATATATTTATATTTCTGTGTGACTCCCTATACGTTCTATCTTCTTTGTATTACATGTAAATGCTTCACTGCTCTTCTACGAACTTTTCTTATGCCACGAATTACTTTTTAGCTTTTATTTAACAGGTTTTCCAAGTTCCAATATATTCCGTCCCTTCTTGCCGCTTGCACTCCATTCCCATTCCTCCCAGCCCCCTCCATGACCCTACCGCCATCGTTATTGTCGGCCCTCCTCGTGTTGACCCCCTGTTTGTCCACTCTGACCCACGGAACCTGAATTGCACCTTTTCTTTTTCTACCGTTAGCCTCGCCCTCTGCCAGCTTCTGTAGCTAATTCCCCTTACATCATAGAAGCTGTCTATTGAATCTGTCCCCGGATGCCGAGTGAGTTCTTCCAGTAGTGCATGGCAAAGGAAATTTTCTCCGAAAGATGGAATGATCATTCAATCCTTCAAACGACTGACTCGCACATGATGCATGAAACGCTCGCTGGCTTTAATATGCAGTACATGTAATCAGTCGCGCTTATTCCCGAAAAGGCTGAGGATGTGGTGGTGTTGGATAAATCGAGGCTTGCTAATAGTGTGTTGTGTGTGTGGTGTTACTGACTTTGGTTGTTGTGGTTGATTTCTAGTAATCTGGTAACTGGATAACTGGCATCCAGTCGAAGTCATCAGTCATTTTCGGTCCCCTCAAGCTAGAGGGGGATCTATCTCACTCTAGATTGCACTTGGAAACAGACTTTATGAGTCTGAAACAGGATTTACCCTTGGGGCAAGGCCCGTTGGAGGCTCAGACCTGCCTTTCACCAAACGGCCCACCCTTTGGTCATGTTGCCTTTTTTTGCAGATTGTTAGTAGTAGGGACTTTCGAAACCAGTCCTGTCTCACAGGCCCTTTTGGATCTTCGTCAACATATGGCCAAATTGCTCTCTGTATTCTCATAAGTGATGTTTGCCATTCCTGCAGCGACTCTTTCGCGGACAATATGGTATGCGACGAGTTGCTATTTTTCTTCAGAAGTAGACTCCTGGGATGCTCGAGTTCTTGATCACGGACATGTTGTCCGCCTGCTGAGATCGGCAGGGCCATCAATGGGAACTCCCATCTCTGAGCTTGTACCGCAAATGCCTCCACCCCCCCCCCCCCCCCCCCCCCCCTCATCTCGATTCCAACCTTCATCGCCGCTAACTCAGATCCAAAGTAGGAAGTTTCAATGGAGCACTGCTTCTTGCTATACCAAATAATAGGAGACATGTTAGCAAAGACGAGTACACCAGTACGCGAACGACGTGTCACCTTGTCCCCAGCATTGTCAGAATCCACAAACATAGTGATTTGGATTGGTTTGCCGAGCGGCTTCGGCATGTCTGGAGGCCAAAGCTCTTTCGCATCGGCATAGAAATCGCTCCAGTCAGGTCGCTCTTGGGTTTCCACTTGATTCACATAGGAAGGATCAAGAACAGGGTGAGAACGAATCTGTGCTGCTTTGAGATTGCCAAGATATGAAACACAGCGTCCAGGTGCCAAACTCGTGGGGCTGCACATTATGAAGCCATGATTGAAACCTTGGTGCAGATTTCAATTCTCCCGAGTTCCCCGGCCCATCGTAGCACTCAAATCTGCTGTTGAAAGTAATATGTCCACTCGTCATCACAAAAGTTTGAAACATCCAACTCCGGAGTGTAATTGCTCGGTAACACTGAAGTTGCTTTTGACTTGGGCGTCTTCCCACGTCGCTAGAGCCATGTCTCCACATTTCTGACAGCCTCCTTGTCATACTGTTCAGATCCCATGGACCAACATGGTTTGTCAACGCCAGGCATTGTAACTCTTTGACTGATCTCCCAAGATACTGATGTTGGCTTTCCAGGGATCCTTGGCTTCAGCAGGAATGCTGATTAGTTGCGTAGTAGGTATTTGGTTATTGACAGGCTAAAGGAGATCGTCTGTGGTATTACAAGATCTTACTCATTAGTATTTCCCTTCCTCGGCTGTGGTGGCGGGCACTGAAACAACATCATTGTCTGCCTTACAAGAGGTGACCCCCAGGTTGTCTCGAAGAACATCAGCTAAGTGGACCCTCCATGCTGCTCCACTTGATTTTAGGCCATACAGGGCCTTGACGACCTTTGCTTTGAGTCCCTCAAATGGGCCAAATTCCTTAACGCATGTGATAAAGATCTTCTCTAGAACTGGGGCATTCAAATATGCGTTGCCTATATCAGCGGCCAATATGTCCATATCGTTCAGTGCTGCAATCAAGAATGCCAGTCGTACACTCTCTCGACTGACAACGCTGGCGTAGGTGCTGGACGAAGGTGGATCGGACATATGCCCCCCAGCAACAAGACGTGCCTTCCTTGTAAATTCGCTTTGGGAAAGTCCCGCCATATTTCTGTTCCTGCGAAAGTAACGCTTCGCAAAAGCAGAGATAATCCGATTCAGCTTCTTGAGGGTGTAAGTGACCCACCAAGAGAAAGCGGGCTCTGACTCCAAGCCATTGTTCTGTGCTTACTCTGCCGTCTGAATCATGTAACCATCTTTCATGTCATTAAGGGACTGCCATGAGGTGGTCCCCTCCTTCCACTGACACAAAAGTTTCCACCCTTTGGTGGTCTGTCGCAAAGTCTTCCTGCCATTCCGATATATGTAGGCGTCGTCCCCTGAACCAGCATGTCCATCCTTTGCATGGTCCAGGATATCCACCAATTCAAACAAAGTGTAACCGTCATCATCAACCTGGCATAGTAGACTTGCATGATTGTTGGCCGAGTAGGCTGCGGTCTCGCCACTGTCAAACACCACCTCATAAAGGGAAGTATAAAGCAATGGGTTAGAATTCGAGAGACCAATCAGTTTTCCATTTGAGTTCCTCTTGCGCTTAGTGACTGTGCCATAAGACATTTAGTCTCCCTGTGGGACACAAACACGAGTTGCTAATCGTGTACTTTATCGATGGCTCATGTTTGCTCGTCATCTTGCTTTTGACAACTCTTGCAGAGGAGCTGGGTCACTATCATCCATTGGCTCATAATACTCTAGTATCTCTTCATCCTGACGAGATTCAGCTTCATCACTGCTGGCCAAAACCTAACGCTTGCCAAGGGACTTCTTCAAGGATTCTGTTAATGCTGCCTTCTTGGATTCAATCACCGGGCTCAGATTCTCCTGGTCTGATAAGAGGATGACAGATGTCCTAGAAACCAACTGGCCCTTCTCGTTGAGGCTTCGGTCACACATAGCGTCCCCAATGTCGGTGCTGGGGCCACAGTAGTGACCAAGGCGCTTCCTTTTCATTGACTCGCCCTGTCTTTCAGGAGAAAGGTACCAAAACCAATCATACTTCCGCAAACTACAATATGTGAGTGTCCGTCTGTCATCGTGTGGTTCGGCCCTGAATAGCAGGATTTCCGTTGTTGGTAGTCTGTACGCTGGCGCCATTCTCATCCAAACTTGGCATCCTTGCTACTCTGGCACTCTCTCATTTTAAATGAGATAATGTTCTTGGTTTTGATCGTGTTCTGCTTTCGAGCGACCAAATTCCCAGGGCATTCCGTGTCGTAGTCGTCATTGTTTTTATTCTGTGTTATATTCTGATTCGTGCATTGGTCCTTCTTTCTCCT